TAGTTAATAAATTGCTTTAGTTATTAAGAGCTTTTCTGGAACGTCTGACAAGGTTTGTTTTCCCCTCGGTAGTAAAGAAATTGCAACTGGTTCAAACTATTTAATTTGAAATGTCATGCTTTACTCGCAGCACTTAACTTTCCATTGGAAACTACTAATTTAAGTAATATCAGCGGTGAATTTGACAGTATTTCAATCGAATTCAGACAGTTTATACGGTATATGATATGGCCAATGGCCAATGCAATGCCCAAGTCAATGGCCATTGATTAAGGTGTTTCGATACAGCTTTTCAGAGGTCATACCGATATTTTTCAATCGCCTTAAAAGTGATTTTCTCCTTGTCCGATCGCTATGAAATTTTCACCAGTAATTGGCTATGGATTGAAATTTGTGAAAATGTAGTTTTAAGTAAAATCGATATTACTATGACAAAAATAAACAAAAAACTTTGAAATTGATAGAAGCCGAATTTCGTGTGATCTAGACCTGCTACTGAAAATCCAACACTAGTAACTTAAAGTTTGGTGTTTAGCAAACAATCTCCGTAAGAAGTAAAAAATTCTGTATGTTTGAGTTCGACTAAAACGAATTCGAATCCCGCTTACGTCACTGAATATTTTACAGAAGTTTTGTGTGTAGTTTTTATAAGATTTTTATAAAGAATTCATTTTTTATAATAATAATAATAATAATAATAATAATAAAAAACAAACAAACAAACAAAAACTGAAGAGAGCCATTGGAGTTGCGCAAAAGAGCCAGGGACCCCATACAAGACGCACTTCCGTACATATGTCCTAAATACAATAAAAACAAACAAGCGCAGTGTGACAAATCATCTAGACCCTGCAGTTCCACTTACAGACAAAAGATCACCAGGCCGGCCCAAAAACTCCTCAACACCGCCCCTAAATGAGTGTAAATCATGACTAAAGCGAACTACACGAGGTAGACAGTTCCGGCTATCCACAATTCTGTTAAAGTATGAGTTTTTAAAACTGGTAGTCCTAGCAAAGTTTTACCTTGGTTTTAAGCAGTCAAAAATCCGAAAGGTTTGACGATCGTCTCGACAATAAAAATTTCTTAAGTAGTTTTTAAGGCCTGGGACCAAGGGGTTTACCTGTGCAAAATAAATCATTGGCTATAACTTTGGCATAGATGATGGCGCTGAATCAAAATTTTGCACACATAAAGAACTCATCTTCCTCAACATTTTAAAGTATAAATATTGTGTTAATAAGTCGAGCAATATGTCACGCGACCATTTAGCTAAAAATCGTACATTATTGACTTCACGTTTGGAATGACCATCCATTGCACTTCAATAAAAAATTAGAAGGAAAACCATCATTTTAAATGCCCAAATTTAATCTTCAATTATTTAACACTTTAATTTCAAACTTCGCGTACATTCATTCCAAACATAGAAAGTTAGGTATGTTTATCCTCTTTCAGAAAAGCCAATTTGTTTATCCAAACAATGTAAATTCGCCACAAATTCGCCAATGTCCTTCATTTTCAAGCTTTGGTTACGTGACATGTCGCGGGACCATAATTAAACAAGAAAACCTCATGATATACTTTTGGGGAAGGATTCTTTCTTTTCTAGGTCTTCTAGCGAGAGATATTGCCAATCATTCATATGCTCAGAACACAGGCTTTGACCCAGGCCTTAAACCGCTTGAGTTAGAAAACTACTAAAATCTACATTAAAATAACCATTTAAAACTTTATACAAAAAGTGACATCAGCTATAAAGCGTGTTTCTCAAGAGACACAAGATTAAGCTCCTTCAACCGAGATTCGTAATTACCGTCAGATTTTAAAATTAACTTTTTGCGGCTCTCTTCTACACAATGTAGGTACATCAAATAGATCCTTTATGTACGCGAGATTAAACCCAACATTCTGTTTGCTTTGGAAACGTGGGAATTGCAGGAGAGGTTATGACTCACAAGTAAGCCAAGTTCCTTGAACTCTGAAACAATATCTAAGGATGAGTCATACATAACAAGGTTTGTTTATTTCGCCCTTTAAAATACATAACAAACCTTACAGAGAGTAAAGGTATACAAATCATGAAAATAGCGCAGATAATATACAATTTTTTTTATAAAACATAATAAAGCATTGGATATCTATTGAAACCTTATTCTATAGCTACAATTGTAGCTATTCTATAGCTATTCTATTCCCCGACAGATCACTTTAAAGAAGAAGAGAATCAAGTCACAAAGCAATTTATGTGACAATGATTCCTTTGAAGGAATCATCGAATCTGACTCAGAAGATGGTGCACCCGGAAAGTTACGCTGATGTAAGTGACATGTTGCAGCTATCAACTTTGAATGTTCATTACCTACAATTGTTATTTGGCTACAATTCTACGCACCCTCTGATTGGCTGTTTTCTGGTAATGATCGGGCATGACTACTGCTAGGTGTCTATAGTGTTGGAGGCGATTAAACACGTTTTGATGAACACAACTAATTTAATACATAATCAAGATGGCAGCTTCTACAAAAACTGATAACGAACACATGGTCATTCCCAAATAGGGGCAAACTATATAAGTTTGTACACTGTAGTGTCCAAGGCATATACAAAATACATGTAGAGGACATCCTTGTTATGGTCAATTAACAGTAATCAAAAAGGATATTTGCTGAGCAGTGTCACGGGACTGTATCGCGAGCTAAAGTGTACAGCGCATGAGGTGACGTGTGTTTTAAAGTTTTCCGCTGGCCAGTTGTTGGGAATAAGTTTATAATGGGGTGTAACGCGTTTCCAGGCCATCCACCCTGATGAAGGCTGGTGTATTCGGTTGAAATATAGGTGGAAAAAAGTTGTCAAATCACACTCTTCAGTCTTGCTGAATATATCTATACTATAAATTAATATAAGGGACGGACCATTAGAAAAGTTATGAGGGGAGAGGGGGGAGGGGAATTTCGAGCCGCAGGAATTTTTTTTTGTTATCAAGTTTCTTGTATGAATCTTTTTTAGGCCATAGTATGAATATTTTTTAGGGTTAATTGGCGTGCAAGAATTTTTTTTCATTTAATTTTCTCTTGCGCGAATTTTTTTTTGTACTTCAC